TAAAAACCTTATTCCAGCTTTACAACTATTCGGGAATACTGAATCTTTTGATCTAACTTATTTAACTTACTATTATTCCAGGATTACTGCTATCATCCTCGTTCATCTCGCAAGGAGAGCCATGTTCGCTGATAAAAACATTTGGAGGCCACGCATGGGGAAAGACGAAGAGAGCAATGACATCTAAAGGTCCACGAAAAGAACTCGAAGCATCGATCACTTCACCTATTGCACCAGTCTTCTTGGTGAAATTTAGAAGGACAACACCATGACGCCAATTGGCTGAACCAATGAAACTGAGGACAGTAAAATAAGAAGCAATGTTTTGATATCGTGTGAAAACCCTTTTCTCCTGATTGACGTTTATTACTGAATATCATTAAATCTACAAGGATCTTCTATACCGGGGAGCGAGAAGAACTTTGACTTTATAGTCTGCTATTGACACCCTGTATAATAATGCAAAAGATAGAAAGTTCACCCCTATTTTGGTGGAACGTCCACGAATAGTTAATGTAGGGAATCCCCTCCCCTTGTGTTCTTTATTTACCTCGCTTCCCCTTATCAGTCACCGAAAATCGTGTCATAATATATTCTCTTACAGAAATTGTTTTAGATTTATCTAACTTTACGCCCCTGGAGCCGGTTGCACTGCTTCACAAAACGTTTTATAGATTGTTATTTTTCTTACCGGATCATGTTTTCTTTTCCGAGGACAAAAGCTTTGGATGGTGAAATCTCGGAGGGTGCTGCAATCCATTCGTTGTTGTGGAAGTAGTGTAATTTGCCATATATACTATGGTCCGTGGATTTAGAAGTTCCATTGACAACGTCAACAGATATTATTGCAATGGTATCTGTATTAAAAAACATGTTCTTGGACGTTTCCCCCAAAGTCTGAAAATCTACTACAACCTTGTATTGTTTATCATTAAGGCATTGGTACTCGGTTCCAAGGCAGCAGAAAGCATTTCCTGGCTGACATTTTCCGGTACTATTACAAAAAATGTGATTTTGTGGACAGCAGTGTTCGCTAGATGGTTGACACTTTCCTGTGTAATTGCAGAGCATGAGGTTGTGTGGACAGCACGATTCGTTGCTCATTTGACATCGTCTGGTATAATTGCAGAAGACATGATTCTGATGACAACAAGGTTCCTTGGGCAGTTGACACTTTCCTGTGTAATTGCAGAGTATGAGGTTGTGTGGACAGCACGATTCGTTGCCCAATTGACATTGTCTTGT